AGGGGGGGAATGGGGAAGAAAGGGTTAAAAATGGCGGGAAATGGGGCTTGGGGTTACTGGTTTGTACTGGTTTGGACTGGTTTGGACTGGGAGGGGGGAGAAATGGGGAGAAATGGCGAAAAAACGGGAAAAAAGGGTTAAGAAATGGGGAAAATGGGGTTAAAAATGGGGAAGAAAGGGTTAAAAATGGCGGGAAATGGGGTTTGGGGTTACTGGTTTATACTGGTTTATACTGGTTTGGACTGGTTTGGACTGGTTTATACTGGGAGGGGACTGGGAGGTGAAAATGGGGAAAAAACGGGAAAAAATGGGAAAAAACGGGGGAAAAAAGGGGTTAAAAACGGAAACAAGATGGCGGAAAATGGCGGGAAACGGGGTTACCGGTTTAAACCGGTTTAAACCGGTTTGAACCGGTTCGAACCGGTTTATACTGGGAGGCCACCGGAAGTGCTCGAAAACGGCGAAAAAACGGGGAAAATTGGCCGCAAAACGGGCGAAAAAACGGGAATTTCGGGGGACCGGAAGTGGGCGTGGCCGGGGATCATCCCAAGCCCCGCCCACAAGAGAAAGGGGGCGTGGCTTGATGAGGCCACGCCCCTTTCCGCAGTTCACGTCTTTGACCTCGAGGGCGACGGCGACGCCCACACGGCCCTGGAGCTCAGGTGGGGGCGGGGCTTCGGTTTTAACGCTCTAATTTGCATGTTGGGGGCGTGGCTTGGGGTTGAAGGCTCTAATTTGCATATTTGGGGGCGTGGCTTTGGCGCATGTGGGAGTCCGGGTTGCGCCTGGTAAAGGGGGCGTGGTTTATGTGGCTGATTTGCATTTTATGCGGCGTGCTTCTGCTCCTAATTTGCATTTTTAATGTGCTTGGGGCTTAATTTGCATATTGGGGGGTGTGGCCGGGATTGGGGCGGGGCTTAAAGTTGGAGGGTGTGGCTTAAACCCACATGAAGTCCATATATGGGAAAGCGGGCGTGGCTTAAACGCCAGTATAACCCAATATGGGAGTGGGCGTGGCTTAGGCCCCATCTGCCCCTTATATGGAAGTGGGCGTGGCTTAACCCCCATATAATCCAATATGGAGAAGTGGGCGTGGCTTAAATCCCGTTATAACCATAAAAGGCAAAGTGGGCGTGGCTTAACCCCCCATATAATCCCATATGGAGAAGTGGGCGTGGCTTAAATCCCATTATAACCATAAAAGGCAAAGTGGGCGTGGCTTAGACCCCGTCCACCCCTTATATGGAAGTGGGCGTGGCTCAAACCCCATTAAAACCCCAATATGGGAAAGTGGGCGTGGCTTAGACCCCGTCCACCCCTTATATGGAAGTGGGCGTGGCTCAAACCCCGTTAAAACCAAATATGGGAAAGTGGGCGTGGCTTAAACCCCATTATAACCATAAAGGGCAAAGTGGGCGTGGCTTAATCCCCTTTAGACCCCAATATGGGAAAGTGGGCGTGGCTTAAACCCCATTATAACCATAAAAGGCAAATTGGGCGTGGCTTAAGCCCATTATAACCATAAAAGGCAAAGTGGGCGTGGCTTAATCCCCTTTAGACCCCAATATGGGAAAGTGGGCGTGGCTTAAATCCCATTAAACCCCAAATACGGCAAAGTGGGCGTGTCCCCAGCCGGGTGGGCGTGTCCCCTGCTCTCACCAAGCCCCGCCCCCTCCCCAGACCGGAAGAACGCCGCTTCGCCGTCTTCTCATTGGCCGTGGGTCCGGACGGGCGGGACGTGGTGGGCGGGGCCAACGACGGCTGCCTCTACGTCTACGACCGGCAGGCGCAGGAGCGCGTCCTGAGGGTGAGGCCAGTTCAAACCAGTTCAAACCAGTTCAAACCAGTACAAACCAGTTTGGACCAGTTTGAGCCGTTTTTTCCTGTTTTTTCCCGTTTTTTCCCCTTTTTTCCCCTTTTTTTCCCGTTCCAAGTGCTCCCAGTTCATCCCAGTTTGATCTCACAGCTCAGGGAGCAAATCCCAGTCTAAACCAGCTCAAACCGGCCCAAACCAGTTCAAACCAGTATAAACCAGTTTGGACCAGTTTGAGCTGCTTTTTTCCCTTTTTTCACCATTTTTTCACCGTTTTTTCCCCGTTTCTCCCCATTTTCCCCTCCCAGTCCCTCCCAGTATAAACCAGTATAAACCAGTAACCCCAACCCCCATTTCCCGCCATTTTCCGCCATTTTGTTTCCATTTCCAGCCATTTTCTTCCCATTTTTTCACCGTTTTTCGCCGTTTTTTCCCCATTTCTCCCCTCCCAGTATAAACCAGTACAAACCAGTCCAAACCAGTAACCCCAACCGCCATTTCCCACCATTTTCCACCATCTTGTCCCCATTGTCCGCCATCTTGTTTCCATTTTCCGCCATCTTGTTCCCATTTTTCCACCGTTTTCCACCATTTTTTCACCGTTTTCCCCCGTTTTTCCCCCATTTCTCCCCTCCCAGTCCCTCCCAGTATAAACCAGTCCAAACCAGTAACCCCAAACCCCATTTTTCCGCCATCTTGCTCCCGTTTTCCGCCATCTTGTTCCCATTTTCCGCCATCTTGTTTCCGTTTTCCGCCATCTTGTTCCCATTTTTCCACCGTTTTCCACCATTTTTTCACCGTTTTCCCCCGTTTTTCCCCCATTTCTCCCCTCCCAGTCCCTCCCAGTATAAACCAGTCCAAACCAGTAACCCCAAACCCCATTTTCCGCCATCTTGCTCCCATTTTCCGCCATCTTGCTCCCGTTTTCCGCCATCTTGTTTCCGTTTTCCACCATCTTGTTCCCATTTTTCCACCGTTTTCCGCCGTTTTTTCACCGTTTTCCCCCGTTTTTCCCCCATTTCCCCCCCTCCCAGTACAAACCAGTCCAAACCAGTCCAAACCAGTAACCCCAAACCCCATTTTTCCGCCATCTTGCTCCCGTTTTCCGACATCTTGTTCCCGTTTTCCGCCATCTTGTTCCCATTTTTCCACCGTTTTCCGCCATTTTTTCACCGTTTTCTGCCGTTTTTTCACCGTTTCTCCCCGTTTTTCCCCCATTTCCCCCCCTCCCAGTCCAAACCAGTCCAAACCAGTCCCTCTCCCCGCAGGTCCCCGCCCACGAGGACGACGTCAACGCGGTGGCCGTGGCCGACGCCTCGGGCCAGCTGCTGCTGTCGGGCGGCGACGACGCGGTGGCGCGCGCCTGGGACCGGCGCTGCCTGCCCGAGGGGCCGGCGGTCACTCTGGCCGGACACCGCGACGGGCTGACCTTCCTCCACGCCAGGGTGGGTTACTGGTTTGGACTGGTTTGGACTGGTTTGTACTGGGAGGGGGGAAAATGGGGAGAAACGGTGAAAAAACGGGAAAAAACGGTGAAAAAAACGGGAAAAATAGGGGGGGAAAATGGGGAGGAAAGGGTTAAAAATGGCGGGAAATGGGGGGTGGGGTTACTGGTTTGTACTGGTTTGGACTGGGAGGGACTGGGAGGGAAAAACGGGGAGAAACGGGGAAAAAATGGGGAAAATGGTGAAAAAATGGGAAAAAACAGTGAAAAATGGCAAAAAAAGGGTTAAAAATGGGGGGAAAATGGGGGAAATGGGGTTTGGGGTTACTGGTTTGTACTGGTTTGTACTGGTAGGGACTGGGAGGGAAAAACGGGGAGAAATGGGGAAAAAATGGGGGAAAATGGTGAAAAAATGGTAAAAAAAGGGTTAAAAAGGGTTAAAAATGGAGAAAAAAGGGTTAAAAATGGGAAAAATGGGGTTTGGGGTTACTGGTTTGTACTGGTTTGGACTGGTTTGTACTGGGAGGGGAAAAATGGGGAGAAACGGTGAAAAAACGGGAAAAAAACGGGAAAAAATGGTAAAAAGAGGGTTAAAAACGGAGAAGAAAGGGTTAAAAATGGGGAAAATGGCGGGAAATGGGGTTTGGAGTTACTGGTTTGTACTGGTTTATACTGGGAGGGGAAAAATGGGGAGAAACGGTGGAAAAATGGGAAAAAACGGGGAAAAAAGGGTTAAAAATAGAAAAAATGGGTTAAAAATGGAAAAGAAAGGGTTAAAAATGGCGGGAAATGGGGTTTGGAGTTACTGGTTTGTACTGGTGTATACTGGGAGGGGAAAAATGGGGAGAAACGGTGGAAAAATGGGAAAAAACGGTGAAAAAATGGCAAAAAAAACCGGGAAAAAAATGGGGAAAAACCGCTGAGATTTGGGGTTACTGGTTTATACTGGTTTGGACTGGTTTGAACTGGGATTTCCTCTCTGAGTTTTCATGGGAGACCAAACTGGGATAAACTGGGAGCACTGGGAATGGGGAAACATCGGAAAAAATGGGGAAAAAAATGCAAAAAAAAAAAAATCTGGAAAAGTGGGAAAAAAAAAAAATGAGGAAAAAAAGGGGGAAAAAATGTCAAACTGGTTTGAACTGGTTTTTACTGGTTTATACTGGTTTGGACTGGTTTGAACTGGGATTTTCTCCCTGAACTGCATCAGGAGACCCAACTGGGACAGCTAAAAATGGAAAAAAATGGGGAAAAAAATGCAAAAAACCGGAAATCTGGAAAAATGGGAAAAAAAAAAATGAGGAAAAAAAGGGGGAAAAAATGTCAAACTGGTTTGAACTGGTTTTTACTGGTTTATACTGGTTTGAACTGGGATTTTCTCCCTGAACTGTGCCAGGAGACCCAACTGGGACAGCTAAAAATGGAAAAAAATGGGGAAAAAAATGGAAAAAAATGGAAAAAAATTGGGAAAAAAATCCAAAAAAAATTCCAAAAAAATAGGGAAAAAATGGGAAAAAAGGTCCAAACTGGTTTTTACTGGTTTTTACTGGTTTTTACCGGCAGGGGGACGGCCGTTACGTGGTCTCCAACTCCAAGGACCAGTCGGCCAAGCTCTGGGACCTGCGGCGCCCCTCGGGCGCGGCGGCGCTGGCGGCGGCGCGGCGAGCGGTGGCGCGGCAGAGCTGGGACTACCGGTGGCAGAGAGCGCCCCGGAACGGTGACTGGTTTATACTGGTTTGTACTGGGAGGGGAAAAACCGGGGAGAAACGGCGAAAAAACGGCGAAAAACGGGGAAAAAACGGGGAAAATATGGGGGAAAATATGGGGGAGAAAGGGTTAAAAATGGGGGTTGGGGTTACTGGTTTGTACTGGTTTGTACTGGTTTGTACTGGGAGGGGAAAAATGGGGAGAAACAGTGAAAAAACGGGGAAAAAAAACGGGGAAAAATTGGGAAAAATGGAAACAAGATGGCGGACAATGGAAACAAGATGGCGGAAAATGGCGGGAAACGGAAACAAGATGGCGGAAAACGGCGGGAAATGGGGGGTGGGGTTACTGGTTTATACTGGTTTATACTGGTTTGGACTGGGAGGGGGAGAAATGGGGAGAAACGGCGAAAAAACGGGAAAAAACGGTGAAAAAATGGGGGAAAATTGGGAAAAAAATGGAAACAAGATGGCGGAAAATGGCGGGAAACGGAAACAAGATGGCGGAAAACGGCGGGAAATGGGGGGTGGGGTTACTGGTTTGAACTGGTTTGTACTGGGAGAAACCGGAAGTGGATTTGGGGCTGATTTGGGTCAATTTTGGGTGAATTTTTGGGTCATTTTTGGGTCAATTTGGGTCATTTTGGGTCAATTTTGGTCATTTTTGGGTCATTTTCAGCCAATTTTGGGTCAAATTTGAATTTTTCTCAATTTTGGGTCAATTTCCCTCAATTTTGGATTAATTTTGCTCCGTTTTGGGTGAATTTCCCTCAATTTGAGTCATTTTGAGTGAATTTGGGTCAATTTTGGGTGAATTTCCCTCAATTTGAGTAATTTTGACTGAATTTGGCTCAATTTTGCTCAATTTCGGTTGAATTTTGCTCAATTTTGAGATTTTCTCGATTTTGGTTCATTTTGGGTCAATTTTGGTTCATTTTGGGTCAATTTTGGGTGAATTTGGGTAAATTTGGGTCAATTTTGGTTCATTTTGGGTGATTTTAGGTCCATTTGCATCATTTTGGGTGGTTTTGGGTGAATTTCCCTCAATTTTGGTCAATTTGGGTCAATTTTGGGTCAATTTGAGTGAATTTGGGTCCATTTCACTCAATTTTGGGTGAATTTCTCAATTTGAGTCAATTTTGGGTCAATTTCGCTCAATTTGGGTGAATTTTGGGTGAATTTTGGGTGAATTTGGGTCAATTTTAGTCAACTTTGGGTCATTTTGTGTCAATTTTGGGTGATTTTGGGTGAACTTGGGTTTATTTCACTCAATTTTGGGTGAATTTCTCAATTTGGGTCAATTTGAGTCAATTTTGGGTCATTTTGAGTGAATTTGGGTCAATTTTGGGTGAATTTCCCTCAATTTGGGTCAATTTGAGTTGATTTTGGGTGAATTTCGCTCAATTTTAGTCAATTTTGGGTCAATTTCGCCCAATTTTGGGCCAATTTTGCCCAGTTTCGGTTCAAACTTCCCTCCCCCCGCTCCGTGGGCGTGGCCTGACCGCTGACCCCGCCCCCTCCAGCCCGCCGGGCCACGCCCCTTCCGGGCGACGCGTCGCTGCTGACGTTCCGCGGTCACGTGGTGCTGCACACGCTCCTGCGCTGCCGCCTGGCCCCGCCCGGATTCGCCCCCGCCCTGGCGGCCGGGAGCGCCGAGGGAGCCGTGCTGGGTAAACTGGTTTATACTGGTTTGTACTGGTTTGTACCGGGAGGGGGAGAAATGGGGAGAAACGGCGAAAAAACGGGAAAAAAAAATGGGGGGAAAAAAGGGTTAAAAGCGGAAACAAGATGGCGGAAAATGGCGGGAAATGGGGGCAAAATGGCGGAAATTGGGTTTGAGGTTACTGGTTTGGACTGGTTTATACTGGGAGGGGACCGGGAGGGGGAAAAATGGGGAGAAACGGTGAAAAAACGGGAAAAAACGGTGAAAAAATGGGGAAACAAGATGGCGGACAATGGAGACAAGATGGCGGAAAATGGCGGGAAATGGGGGCAAAATGGCGGGAAATGGGAGTTTGGGGTTACTGGTTTGTACTGGGAGGGACTGGGAGGGTGGAAATGGGGAAAAAAAGGGAAAAAACGGTGAAAAAATGGGGAAACAAGATGGCGGACAATGGAGACAAGATGGCGGAAAATGGCGGGAAAAGGGATTTGGGGTTACTGGTTTGAACTGGTTTATACTGGGAGGGGGAAATGGGTTAAAAACGGGTTAAAAATGGGTTAAAAAAGGCGGTTTTGGGGTTTTTACTGGTTTGAACTGGTTTTAACTGGGACCTTTGGCCCCGCCCCTTTTTTCCCCTCCCAGTCTATGACGTCACCACTGGGCGGGCCCTGCGCCGCCTGACCAATCACAGCGCCTGCGTGCGTGACGTCAGCTGGAGCCCCGAGGGGGCGTGGCTCGCCAGCGCTTCGGTGGGCGGGGCTTCGGGGGGAAAGGGGGTGGGGCTTTAAAAAATGGCGGGAATTCCAAAGGGGGCGGGGCTTCCATAAAAGGGCGGGAAAATCGGGATTGGGAAAAAAAAAGGCGGGAATTTCCGGGGGGAAGGGAATGAAAACCGGAAGTGGGCGTGGCCGGTCTGGGGGGGAAGTGGGCGTGGTTTGGGCGGAGGGGGCGTGGCTTAAAAACCGGGAAGGGGAATTTTTAAGCGGGAATTTGAGGGTTGGGGGAGGGGCTTAAAGGGGGCGGGGCTTAAAGGGGGCAGGGCTTAAATGGGCGGGGCTAAAATGGGAAGGTATTCAAAGGAGAAGTGGGCGGGGCTTATCTCAATTTGCATATTTAATGAGAGGGAGGGGATAAAGGGGGTGGGCTTAAATAAGGGGGTGGGGCTTGGCTCAATTTGCATATTTAAATGAGTGGGAGGTGCTAAAGGGGGTGTACTTAGATGAGAAGTGGGCGGGGCTT